TTAAAACTCCCAAAAACAACAACAACCTCTTATTGTTTATTTTAATGTCATTAAAGCAAAATTTATCGAAAATAGTGAGCTTAGGATTTTAATCACCATAGTGATCAAATTGTTTTTTCGTCCGGCAAAACTGTATTTTAGGAACTACTACTATTTTGCGTGGGTACTATTTTATTGAGTCCAAAAAAAACTCATTTTGGGGACACTAATAGGTATAAGTCCGTAAAATAGCTACTTTTAAGAGCGTATACAAAAAATATATTTTTGTCTGCGATTTCTCCTAAATTGATTTAATTAAATAAGATTTAAAACCGTTTTTTTCCCGTTTACTCCGCCCATGTAAGAATCTAACCCTCCTTAATTGTATTTCTATAAAATGTTAAGTATTTTTAATGTTCGATTTATTAAAATTTTTACAGGCCAATTTTTATATTTGGGCTAATTAATTAATTAAATTTGTAGAATTTGGAGGTTGTTATAGCCATTTGCATCGTCAAGTTGGTTTTTAACTTCAGAACATTTATACATTGAATTTTTAAAATGTTTCTCAAAATATGTAAAGCAATCTAATCATTACTATGCTTTGATGGCTGATCTGTTACAAGTTATAATTAGGCACACGTAAAGAAATAGGAATTAGATAAAGTAAATAATAACTGGGAATTAAACCAAATATGTTTATTTCGCAGTTAAACTTGTTTTTTTTTCAAAATTTCTATTTTTTTCATATGCCAATGACATTCAAAAAGCTTGTAACAAAACACGTAAAAGTTTAAGAACAGTTCTTAATATGTATTAGAAATCACTATACTCGTGTGACGTCCTTCAGACCACAACACGCACAGCTACTGGGCACCGCACTAAAGTACCTCTTTGACTTAAGTATAAACGATGATTAAACAAAGTACCCACTGGAGGCTAGAGCATATTTCAGGTGAAGAAATGCCGAAGCTGCGCCTTAACAATCAGAAGCGAGCTTTAATTAAAGATTTTCAGTTTGGGGCAATTTTCAGTATGTTCACCTTTCCCAACTGAAGCCGAAGGTAATTAAGAATAAAAAGCGCACTTCCATTAAAACATTAATTTTAAATCTTATTCTCTCCGGGTATCATTAATACTAAAAAGCCATACGCCGAAACTTTGAAGGATTTTAAATCGAGCGACCGATGCATTAGATATGTCTATCGATTGATAGGCTTATTACTTCAGAGAAACTCTTTTAGACCCCAGGCGATACCGCCGGCGAGGAGGCGGCCGATATTTTAGCGAATATCTCGGTCGTGACTTGGAGATAAAGCGGATTGATGTATTGCTACTCTCAGGGAAGTCGCCGCTCTTCTTCGACTAAGTTGTTTCGTATGACCGACACGAAAAGCCTCGGGCGCCACCTCAAGGATCAGCAATTTCAGGCCGAGAACATAACTCTTAAATTTTTACGCAAAATGAGAAGTTTTTACTCAAAAACACTCTCATCAAATATAAACATTTTGGCCTAATTTTAACTTTCAGGAGAAAGTTTCAGGAAGGAAATCTCGAGATATCAGAATCAAATCGGTCTCGTTTTGCTTAAATACCTCTAATTAATTAAAACCCAATTAATTCCCTTACTAATTAATATTTAATTCATACAATACAATTTCCACAGTATAGACGGTCTCATCACATATTAGCATTTTTATTTTCGTAAGAAAAATTTCAGGAAGAAAATCTCAAGCTATCAGACTAAAGTCGGTTTCATTCAGCTCCAATATCTGATGTTAAATCCTAATTAGTCTCATTGCTAATTAATTTAATTTATACAAATTACTGTAATTTCATATAGTTCTAATTTTACCTTATCATCATTAATCAATATGTCAACATAATTGAAGATCAAAGAATCGGTCATTAGTATTCAAAGTATCTCAAACTAAGAAATTTATTTGGAAAATATTTGTCCATCAACAAGTTATTCACATAATTTTTTCAGTTTAGTAGAATTACAAGTTTTAGAGTTGATCAAGTCAATTTTTAATGTAGATCGTTAGTCGGCTGGGAAACACAATGAAACTAATGAGATCACCAAAGCTCATTATGTGAAATGTTGTGAAAGCATTTGAAATATTTTAAACAACATCAAAGTGGTTCAGTAAAAAAAGCGATTGTGAGAGGCCCCTTGAATACTTAAGTAGCTCTTGTTTGGGTTTATTTTGCTATAAAATTAAAATTAAACTTTTAAAACATTGCACAAATAAATTTGTGTGTAAATTGCGCAGATTTTCATAGCGATGTTATCGTCTGTCATTTGCCAATCCTTCAAGCTAAATATTTACAGTCTCATATATTACAAAAAATTGTGTATCATGGCAAAGCATGTGCCATTAATCACCGACCTTTTGCGCCTATAATTTACAATCTCTCGACCTATACAACTCGACGCTGAGAAAGAAAAATGTCGTTCCGAGGGTATCTTTGACAAAAAAGGTTTGTATTTCGGAAAACCCTCTCCCAACTTTCTGCAAAATTTCAGTCGCAATTATATCGTAGTAAATTGCCCGTGAGACTATTCCTGTAATCAAACGCTCGGAAATATCCGAAAGTCACGGGTAAAACACTCCGGGCGGTTTGGCGTGCCCGGAGCGTATTTTCTTAACAACAAAAGATCTCATCCCGCTCGTAGGGTTTATTTGAAAACATACTCGGAATAAATGAAGCTCGCTAAAACCTAATTAGAAACGCTGGAGGCTCTCAGATACAAAATTAATCACTAAATTCCAACTAGTTTAAAAAGTGTCGTTTGCACTCGGTTTCTTCACGAAAGCACCGTCAACTTCGGCGATTGTTTAACAGTATTTAAATAAGAAATTCAAAAGCGAAACTCGACTGGTGCCGAACACTTTGACAATAAAACGAGTTCTTTATTCAAATGCAAAGCATTATTGATGAATTGAGCTTATGAAATATTTATCACTTTGACGTGTCATCAAGCGAAAGCCAAGGGAATTTTCGGAATGCACGAAATGGGCGTTCGAGACAAAAGCCCGCTCCAAAATTGCTTCAGGTAACTGTCAGATTAAAAGTGGGTTTTATTGTTATCTACGAGCTCCTAATTAGGAGTTTTAGCAATAATTTAACTCCAATCGTACTCCTTTGATTCTTATGGACCTTCTATATTAAACCTGACAGTCACGATGAATCAATTTTTCTTTTAAAAGCTTCCTAAACTGTTGTTTGGTAATAAGGAAAAATAGTTTTAATTAAAAACTTATTGTTTCTTTTTGGTAAAAAACCTGTAAATGTTTGTTTTTCCGTTTTTCTTCTTCTCGGTGTCTGTTTCATTAGGCGTTTGAATAAACCTCGATTTCTTTATTTTTGCATGTCGATACACATTTATTAAAAAAAAAACTAAATACTGCCTCAATCTATCAAGTGCATTTACCATTCACTCACCGTACATCCTCCGTAACTTGATTCTTTTACCTTGGCAAAAGAAGCGGCAAGGAGAAACGTTAGTTCCCAGCGTTGGCAAATTAGAAAAAAACAAGAGAAACGGGTTAATTTGTCCAGTGTGCAGCAATGTCTTTTTCCGCGTCGGTTCCTAACATCAGAAGCAATTCGGTACGGCTTTGGCACGTGTTTACACGTGGCCCGCTTCCAGTGGCAATTGCGTTCTCAACATGTACGTCCAATTAACAACGTCATGTTTACTCTGGCGAGTGGTTGTGGTCTTTCCTCCGGGCCTAGAGCGCGCGTCAACGTCGCCGCCACAATAGCCCCCTTAAATGTTCTCCAATAATCAAACGTATTGTATAGATGTACGATTCGCAAAGTCGCTGTTAACAAAAGCTTCTTACAAAACAATGGAGGCGGTATTTCGTCATTTGGTAAAATAAATATTAGCTTTCTGGAGCAAAGGAAGCGTACTGTGTAATTCCTAATTCTGGAGATCTCCCTCATTTTGGTTTCAATTAGCTTACACAAATATCACGTAACCGGTGGTCGAAAGAGAATGAAAATAATGGAAATTGACCAAACTTCAAAAACTTCGTTTTATTAAACAAATACTTTCCTAATATTATTATTATTATTACAAAACGCCCACCTTTAAAATCTCCATAAATATAGCCGGAAATGATTGACGTTTCTTATTACTCAAGAAACACAACTTTATGTATATATATTTATAACTGCATTAAAATTTCATTCATTCATTCAATTTTAATTTGTAAACGATTAATTTAACAATGAAAAATTTTATGCGATTAGCATTTGCATTTACAAATTTAATTTGTTCTTAAGTAGCTAATATACGAAATAACACTGTCATAAATTATGTTTGGAATTCACAATTGTGCTGTAAACATTACGCGACATATGAGACTCGGTGCTACTGCTTCTTGCGTTAACATCTTTAGAAAAACATTTGAATAACTTAAAAGTATCATTGTTACTTATAATTTTCTTGAAATAATAATTATTATTGTACATTCATAATATTGGCTATTACTGTATTTTGTAGGTAAAAAAATTCTGTAATTGTTTTAGAAAGATCTCTGATAAAATCTAAAAAATTGTGACCCCTGTTTGTAAGCTCATATGATATGTATAGAACAGGTTTTAATCTTTTGCATTTGATTATTATAAATTTGCAACCAACATTACTTCAATATACCTGCTAACAAGAATCTCAAGTCTACTTACTCAGTTACAATAAATTTGTGAATGAGAAACAAATTAGTGATTTTCTTATCTTAAAATCTCGTATCTGTTCGAGAATCAAGTCATTTCTAATTTATGTTCTTGAGAATTGCGCTATAAATATTTCTTCTCACTTCAATTGACCTTTTCTGAGCGTACTTAAGTCAACAACCAGTAATTTTATTGTGATAGGCGCTGTCTAGACAACCTTAAATATCAATCACTTGATAAAACTCACGCGGGTTTCTTCTATTGTTAAAATTGAACTCGATTTGAAGACTTCTCGCTAATTTAAATTAATGAATTGCTTTATTTAATTTCAGAAAAAAGAACGACATTCGAAATGACGTGGACAAGGAACCAAAAGACTTGACCAACAGAACAATGTTTCCTACGGCTCAGATTAAAATGAGGTAAGAACAAACTCGTGATGGTCTTGTTTCACAGTAGGAGCTTTGTCCAAAATTCTTCTCGGAAGTAGTAATTCATATAATAAAAATTTTTACAGATTGCCTCAAATGGACATGTAGCTTATTAACATATTTTTTAACGAGTTCAGTAAATAAGAACATTTCTAGGAAGGACACTATTGTGTTGTTAAAGGATATGTTAACACAATTGCTTTCCGCCTTATAGAGTTGTCCAGGCATACTATTAAAATTTATGGTTTCTGTGCAAGACAAGCTAATGTTCCAAGTAAGAAAGATGATCACTATTCTAACGTATAATTATTTTACATTATTACCACGCAGTAAAACACAGCACATTATGTTAAATGTTCACACCTGCTCCGCCTCTTAAGCTTCATTGTTTTAGATATGTGTGGCTAAAAATACGAAGACACGGGCAAGTCGACCGCCTAGAGGCTACATGTAGGTATAGAGTGATTACAGAAACTTGCGATTTTTGGACACTCTAAACACAAAAGGATCTAACTATAATTAACCCAATTACCAAATCTTACTTAGTTTTTCTTGGTCTTTATACAAACAAATTTGTTACAATACAATTCTGCAAAAGCAGTTTGTAAAATATTTAAATTTTCCCACGTCTAGAACTATAATCTCAAATTATTAGAAAAAAATGCCTGTTTTGGAGTAATACAAAGTGTGAAATTTTTAATGGGGGTTGCTCTTCTGCGTGGTCATTAAAGTCTCTCCGTTTCAGGCTGATGTCGCCTAGCAGTTCCCCCGCTACCTCTCCGACGATGTCAAATTCGTCATCGCCGACCCCTCCAGCCGTCAACTACAACAAAATTACAGGAATTCCGTGCGTGGCCGCCGCCTCCCGGTATACCGCCCCCGTGCACATCGACGTCGGCGGCACCATCTACACCTCATCGCTCGAGACACTCACCAAGTAAGTCGGGGGTGCCGTGACGGCCCGGGGGTGTCCCCCGCCATCGCGCCATCTCATGCACATAAATCCGGCCAAAGCATGCTCTAAAACTGTTAAAGGTTAAATCATATAGCATTAAAGTGTTTACAATATCGGGCATCTCGATCGAGCCCCCCATAAATCAGCGTGATACCGGCCGCGGAGCTCTAGCACATGCCGCACAGATAAAAGAATAAAATATTGTGTACATATAGCTCATAGCAAATAACTAAATAATTCAACATTCAGCATGGTGAATATTGATGCTGATAAACGCGGAGGATATATTGCGGCTAATGTCGTAGTAATGGGCCATAAATTATGGTGGGAAATAAATAAATTTCTCATGGGACGTGCCGGGAACATCATTAGAGCGGAAAAACTAATAAATTGATAATGCGATGGGTGGCTCTTTATCTGGAAATCACAATGGCAGATTAATTGAGGCCTTTAAAGTATAAAAAAATAAAAAATGAAAAAAAAAATTTGTCACATAAGGTCTGTTTTTTTTTTTAAATGGAAATGCCAAACAGTCTTAACGTTGGCATCACTAGTAAATTCATTCATGGTAATTTTAATAAAGGAAGTTGGCAGTTCCGGTTTTTTGAATTAATTTGAAAACAATGTCATTAAACATAAAAAATCGTCTAAGAAAATTTAGAGATGAAACACCAAAAAAGAAACAAATTCGGTACACTAACAGTTTTTCGATATTTGGAAACGAATAGTTCGCAAGCAGGAAGTTAGAAAAAGGGCCCGTTAAAATGTAGACGCAATTTGTAACGCAGGTTTGCTAAATATTCTCAATTTTTAGCAAGTAATTGACAAGAATACAAAATAAATATGAATGAGAAAGAATCACGGAAAAAATGCAACTAAATTAGTGTCTTATGCATCGCTTTTGAGAAACGAGTTGAAAAAGTAACAATTTTGAAACTAAAGCTAAAGAAGAATTTATAAAATGCATCAACTCAGCTCATTTCAATAAATTACACAAAATTTATTACCAATCATCATAATACCTACTTGTATCTTTTGCTAAATAATTTTTTCTGTATATACATCCTTTTTCTTCAAAGACAAGCTGCTACCAATTTTTTCACCAAAATTTTGACTTTGTAATTTCCATTAAAAAAAAAACAGACTTTAAGTATAGTCGTTCTGAAACCAGAAGATCTTTAAAATCTAATGTTTTCTAAATATATTTGCTTAGGTATTAAATAAAAACTTTACCTAATAACAATTACAAAAAACATTGCGAAAAATACATAAAAATAAAAACACGCGCCATTGATGTAATCGATGTAATAATACTATGCTTTCATGCTTTTGTTTCTGCAAACTTATCTCTAATTCCTTCGAAATTTATTTTCCCGGCAATTTCATTTTCGATGCTTAAGATTGCTAAAACAGAAAGTCTGTCTTGGCCCATGTTTGATGATCATCAATAATTTATAATTTAGAAAAACTGCGTTTAGTTTGATGTTTTAACGTAGAAACGTTATTGCAAAATTTCAACTGTATACACAAGGTGTCCCACGAGTAATAATGAGCCACAAATTTGTTTTTGATGCAACCAATATTACATTTCATAGATAACGTGCATATTAAAATATTTCGTTTTAATTAGTTAAACAAAGTAATCGTATTTTTATTTTTGACAAATTTCTATCAGTCAAAATGACTTTACCCCAGTCCGTCTATTTGGATATCAATCGCTGGATAGAAACGTGCAATCTGCGAAGTATTTTTCAAACATTCTTCATAAATGAGAATCTTGTTGGTCTTTACGGCAACATTTTAGTAATTGTCACCAAATTCTCCAAGGTTTGACATTTTATAAATTAAAGTTGAAGTGCTGTTTGGTCACTATGTTTAATTTATTAAAACTAAATATTTTAATATCCACGTTATCTTTGACATGTAATGTTGGTTGCTCCAAAAAATTTTTCAGACTCATTATTACTCGTGGGACACCTATACATCTTGTTCGTAATTGTTTAGAAAAAATGAGTTAATTTTTTGACTTCGTTTATGTGCTTCACGTAGTTCCCGATAATTTGGCTGCAGATATAAGTGAATTTGACTTTTTGACTGCTCGCAATCACTTTATGTCCTTAGGCGAATATTTTTCAGAATATCTTAAGGCTTACGGAACCATCTGTTTTCGATAATTTCAATTAGTTATACGAGTTCAACTTTTATGTTATTTTGGATATAATCTATTGAAAGAAATCGAAAATGTGGTATCCTATATAATAGTTATTTATTCGACGAGTTTGAGTGTAAATCGGACGCTTTATTTGACCGAGTGGATTTTTAAACCACGAGTGTAACGAGGTGTAATAAAGCGTCCGATTTACACTCAAACGAGTTGAATACAACATTTTATTCTTCGAATTAGACTCAACAAGGCTTAAACTTGCTTAAATCTGTTAAAAATAATTTGACGTTTCGTATTGAGAAATGCCAAACAGTTGTCAAAACTTCATTACACAGGAGAAAAACCGTAAATTTTGACAGTGTCGAAGAATAAAAGTATTTAACACATCAAAATAGCCGATTAAAATTAGAATCGGGACAACTCTTGTCGGAAACAGTAAATATTTACTTTTGAATGTTTTAGAAACCAAGATATAATAAGACGAAAGACGGTGTATGTATAATATATACACGAGCCTAAATTGCCCTCAAAAAAATAGAAGCCTTATCTTCAGTCGGGCTTTAAACATTTCCTGAGGCTATATTCTCCTGATTATGCTCTTAATTTTTTACAAGTACATGTAACTTATAACACTTTTTTGGCGAATCTTGTAAATCTACATAAATGAACGTAGGTACACATGGTGTTTATAAGTAAACACAGACACCTTAATCGTAAAATTTAATCTAATCAGTGACTCAATTGCCAAATCACATCAAAAAATTTAAAATAAAAACATAAAACAAGCAAATTCTGGAACATCTTTATGTTGTAATGTAATTTGAGGAAAAACTAATTTAAATTTGATAAATACATAATAGGCATTTAGCGGCATATTATTGTGTTTGTATTGTAACGAAATACTCAAAATCAGCCCAACGCCTACCTCCCCTATAACCACAATCTTTGCATGTTGCACAAATCCGAACCAGAGCTGTATTGAATAGAGTGCAGTGCTTATAAACAATAGTCGACTGCACAATAAACTGACGCTTGTACAGCAACGTAACGAAATTATTATCGTAACAAACTATACCATTGTTTTGGATTTCGCTCGAAGGGAAAGAATACAAAAGTGCAGGCAGGTTGTGGTGGGCATAGACGTGCGTCGAGTGCAAATAGGGGATACAACAGGCGGCGGATAGCTAAATGCAGACACGGCCTTATCTCAAGAATATACGGACTTGGCCCCGGAGGTGATCACACCGAATACCCATATTTGGCCGCCGGTGTGGGCAGCGATGACTCGCACACAGAACAAAGACAAAATAAGCTCAATAACGAAATTAATGGAAAAGGATTTTTCTGACTGATCACTGATGTAACAACAGTTACATTATTTAATTAAAAAACTATAAAACTGTATGTGCTAGAGTAGTGAGACCACTCTACATGTTGAGATTCGTGCAAAAAGTTCACGTGAGCAAAGTCGAGTGTGCTTTTATGGCGAAAAGTTTCGCTCATTAAAGCAGGTCAGGGTCGAACTCCGTGTTCGTCGAAGAATATTTTTCAAATTTTTTTAACTTTACAAGATGACGGTGGGAATGTGAATGGGGATAGTTAGACAAAGTTATCGCTGCATTTGCAAACTTCTGAGATAGCCGTGTTGGGAATTATTCCATCAGAGATTTGAAGGATTAGGTTAGTTACGTATGTCCTAAATTGGTAGGTATTTCTCAGCCTTCAAAACCTTATGATCGCGACAAATGTGGCAAATTCTGCTTCGACATAAATTTTCCAATAAACTCAACTAACAAGACATCGAGGCATTTGCTTCGACGTTCCATCGCTTTTCTTATAAATCCCAGCTATTAACTACTCAAGAAGCTGGCATCTTGTGAATAGGTTCTCGGCATGCTTTGGAATTTATTGTCAACTTGTCTCATCATTTGGACACGCCAGGTGCGGTGTATGCTTAACAAGATCGGCCTTAACACTATAACACCTGGCCGTTGTTTATTAATCATCATACGGCGATAATCCTATGAGCATTAAAATTAATTCTCTTAGGACTTATCGACATGTCGAATATAATGCGTTGAGATTATGTATAGACCACAACTGACGCCTTTTACGGCTTTTATATGGCGGTTTTATCAACCGTGTTAGCCATATTCACTGTCATTATTAAATCCATTCGTTTCTCTTGGCAGATATCCAGAATCGAGGCTGGCCAAGTTGTTCAATGGAAGCATACCCATAGTACTCGACTCACTCAAACAACACTACTTCATTGACCGAGATGGAGGCATGTTCAGGCATATTTTGAACTTCATGAGGAACTCAAGACTGCTTATACCAGACAATTTCACTGATCTGGACTTGCTTCTAGAGGAAGCCAGATATTTTGACATTGGACGTAAGTAATTCAAATTATTCAAAATATGCTTTTTTAATCAAAAAAATTAAACAAAATTAAAAACAAAATAATGAATTCTGGCAATTTTATTATTATCATGCAAAAATTAATTATTTTTATTTTTAACTAAATGTTTATTATTTGAAATTAGTTTTAATCCAAATTATCACAATAGTATTATATAAATCTAATACATATGATCAAATTGATAAATAAAATCTCCTTCAAAATTTAAACGCATGTTGTAATGCAAATTTGCATTTAATTTTCGTAAGAGATTAACAAGTTTTCAAAGTTATGATTGAAAAATGGAAAAGATAAAAGAAAATAATTTATTGAGGAAGAGGTTGGAAAACTGACAAATTTGAAATTAAAGCTAAAGAAGAGTTTAGAACTTCGACATCGAGCTTATGTTAAATAACTTGTTGCGGGATTCCCATTTTTTTTTAAATAACTGAACTTTTAACAGCTTGAAAAATTAATGTACTTTGGGATTTTTACAAGTTTGAGTACAGTATATTAGCCCGACGTTCCTTGGACGTCCTGCATATGTAAGAAACTCAAATATGTATAAAGTGTAAATTAGTTAAATTTTGCGATTTTTTACATTGCAATGTCTTTGTTATTCTTTGTTGGATTTCGACAAAGTTTTGTTTGGCTTAAAGAACGCACTTTGCAGAACATTGTAATTTAATTCAATAACATTTTAGTTTTGTCTTTTTTATACTGAGCTGTAGTGTGCAACAGAGACAAAATTAAGTTTTTACTTATTTCAGATTATCATAGTTGAAAAGTTGTACACATTTTTGATAGGAAAATATAATAGCTGTCATTAATTTAAATTATTAATTAAATTGTCATTTATTTTAACGTTAAAGTTGAATTACATTAAAGTGCCAGAAAACTGACGACCAAAGTATTTTGTCTCCAACTGCACAAAGCATTGAAAAAACGTTGCTTTTCTAATGTTACTAAATATTTGTTCAGAAAGTAGGCTACATAAAAAGGTAGTTAAACCAAAAAGCACAATTAGGTACGTCTTTGAACACAAAAAAATCTGAAAAACATGGAACTCCAAGAGATTACAACAAGTAAAACGGTTAATTATTGGGAGCTTCCGTGCGCCTATTTTGACGTTTTGGCACACTTGGCCTACTTAATACAAATATTCATTGAAATGGAAAATGTAATGCTTTTTTTGAAAATTTATATCTCTCATGTCACAAGAATTAAAATTATAGAAAATGTGGTACATAATTCTGAAAAGAATGGGCAATAATCTGAAATCAGTAAAAACTTAGTTTGTCTCTGTCGCAAACCACAGCTCGGTATAAAAATAACTAAAAAAACAGTGCCTTCGTCTTTTCAGTATCACATTTAAAAGACAAAACTAGAAATGTTATTAAATTAAATTACAATGATCTACTTTTTTTTTTCTTTAAGCCAAACAAAAATTCGTCGAAATCCGACAAAGAATAAAAAAAATATTTCAGTGTAAAAAATAGCAAAATTTTAGTTGTCCGGTTAATTTTGGCGACCAGTGTAGTTAGAAAACACCATACAAATTAAGTATTTAACAATCACCATTATTTCAGCGATGATCCGACAACTGGAGCAGTTGAAGAAAGAACGAATAAAGAACAACGGCGTTATTTCCCTCCCCAACAACTCGTTGAAATCCGGGGGCAGTTTCGGCCGCCCCCACGGCGTGAGTTCTGAAAACTCCCGGCAACTTGGACAAGAACTTTACGAATGTGTAGCCCTCCACGTAAGCCCCGACTTGGGGGAGCGCATCATGCTCTCCGGCGACCGCTCGCTCCTCGACGAGGTGTTCCCCGAGACCAATCAAGCCGTGATGGACGCCCGGTCCGGGGTAGCCTGGAACCAGCAGGACGTCCACCACGTGATCCGCTTCCCGCTCAATGGCTACTGCAAACTGAACTCAGTGCAGGTGATAACGAGGCTGCTGAACGCCGGCTTCAAACTGGCGGCGAGCAACGGCGGCGGCGTCGAAGGCCAGCAGTTCTCTGAGTACCTGTTCATAAGGAAGATCTTGCCGGGTTGATCGGACTCGATCCGGCAAATCGACAATCAGCGTTCGTGACGCAACTATTCATTAATTTATGTTCTCGTTAGTTGTAATTTATCATCCTATTGTCAAGACATGCCTTACTTTAGTTTGGAGAATGATCTAATTGTTAATACGTTTGTTTGCTAGTGGTTAAGATTAAAACTATGTAAATAATTTTATTAATATTGTATTTTTTCTTGTTCATGGGTTGAGCATTTTTTTCGCTGATCTCATTAGATCTATTCGGCTGTGATCCGTTTAAGAAAACAGTGACGACTGGATGCTGCGGCAGCTGGCGGATCGACCATTATATACTGTTGTAAAGTGTACTACTTCACAATAAATATTAACTATTAACGCGTTTATTTCTTTGTAACAATAAAATAAAAATAACACAATGTTCGTACAGGCGAAAACCGGAATATTCCATAAAGTTAAGTGGCCTGAAAACTCTTTCAAACAACTTGCACTAACGTTGTTAATTATGCAAATTAACTTCTACTGTTAACAAAGAATTTTTTAATTACAAAGTTATGAACAGATAAAAAATAAACAATAACGAGTACTTAGTTTAGAGAGAGAAACACCTAATGCTGAACGTGTGTACCTAGTGCCAGGTTTATCTACAATAAAATATGATAAATTATCAAATGTTATTAGATACTCGTATTATTTATTACAAATATTTAAACTCTAATTCGGGAATTTTTACGAGTACCTTCGCGTATGAGGAGAAGATGACCAAAAATGTTTCTATGTAGATGTGAAATATACAATCAGTATTTACAGGAACATAATAATTATTTATGATTTTTTATTGAAATAAAAAAAACTAATAGAATAAATGACTTCCAGACACTTGATAATAATAGTGCCAAACAGCAAAAGTGACACTTGAAAATACTTATTTTCGTTTTAAAATTCTGTCGAAATTCACGCGTTGATTGTCCGTTGTATAAATTCTATTTATTCAGTTATTTATGTTCTGGATAACATTCAAATTATTAGTTAGGATCTCGTAATAACAGAACTTATTTCTATTAAATTCTTATATCAACAGTTTTTCTGATTTGTGTGCAATTAACTTTATTATACAAGTATATTTTTTAAGTTGCAAATAAAGGTAAAATATAACATGCAGCAAGAATAAATTCATTTAATGTATTGTGTCACCTGTTATTCCATCTGTTTAATTGCTTGTGAGTTACGTTTGCCAAAAGTTATGACCTACTTTGTACTTCTTCAAATTGTTTTCGTTTATATTTCACTTAATACAGGCGCTTATAAATTTAAAACTGTGGAGCGAACATTAATCGACTACATTTTTTTTTTCATTTCCCAATGAATTGCAATTTTACGACGTAAAAATCAAGTTTTGACGTTATTTTGTGTAAAATATTTTTTTAATATACTCGTAATTTAAAATAAATTTTCAAGCCTAATATACGTACCCCTTTCTGTTATTGAAAGAAAATAAACAGTTAGTTTAGTCAATGTCAAATGAGGTTCCTTTTCAGATAATAAATAATTATAACTGCATTTTTGGAAACCATTAAATAAAAAAAAGAGAAAAAAATTGAAAATAACAATTTACAACAATTATTCAATCAATTTTCAAAGTTGACTTGACTTTTCCTAATTATCTATTTTATTAAGGTTTAAAGAATCTAATATGTAAAATTTAAAAAAAAAGTTATAGGAACATTTTACACTATTCATAAAAACACCATTTGCTATGGGAATTTTTTAAAGTCCTGAAAAGTAAGTAAAAGCTGAAAGAAAATATTTTCTAGATACAAACAAATCTTGTTGCACATTCGTTAATAAATTCCGTGGCCTCATGCTCCCCCGTCCCGGCCACCCGCCTACCCGATTGCTGTATTTCGTATGTCATCTGGAGGATAATTGCGCGTTAGGCCTCGGGCTCGACCCCGAGGTATGCAAAACCTGGTGGAGTGTAAGGACAGGACAAGTTTCCCCGAGTGAGTTACCATGGTGACTGTGAACTCAATATCATCGACAAAGAACCAATTGGGGCCGGGTCGCCTGGGGCAGCAGCGAGCACGGCTGTGCGAGCGCCTCAGGCTCTTCAGCCGGGACTCCCGGGGCGCTGGAGACGGGGGCCGCGGGCGGCCAGACAATCGACGCCGCTACCGCCTCGAGCATTACTCCCACTCGCCGGCTCGCTTGTTTGTAGGTCCACTCATTATTATGGCATTCTTATTCACAGCCCGAAGTGTCCGTCGAATATAATCAGCCGCAAAAGCCTTCGGCTCTCCGCTGTTCAAGGGCCCTTCGTTACCGAGAAGCCTCCAGCGATGCAGATGCCGAGCAGATTTTTTTCGTGACCACTTTTGCAAATTTGCACAACCGCTACAATGCAATTTAAAATTGTACTTAAATTACATAAAAATATTAGTAAATACTTTAGGTTTACATGTTTTATCAAAAAATTCATATTTATAATTGTAAAACTAAGCTTTATAACTAGCAGTGGTCAAATTCCACAAATATTTTTATTTTTTATATACAGGGTGTTCCGTTTTTATTGTTACAAATTTAAACAGGTGATAGAACATTCAATTTTAAGACAAAAGTTTCCTATGAACATGTGTCAAAAAATGTTACGTAAGCGAGCTACACCCCCTAAAAGAGATGCATTTTTTAATGGGGTTTTCCCACTATTGTAGAATAGATAAAATTACAAAAGTTGGTACGGCTAATAACTTTTAAACACCTAAACGAATTCAAAGATCAGTTGTCGAAATTTTTAAACACTGGCGTCTTAAACGGTAAAACAAATTTAATTTTTCATTTTTATCCTCTTTATGGTCTGTAAGACAAAGTGTAAACTAATTTTACTCAAAAACGGTAAGTTGTATCGAAAAAAACGCAAGAGACCTATTTTTTGTGAAAAACTATGAATTTTAGAATTGTGTGGCTGAAAGTGGCAACAATCAACAGACAAAATAGTTAGAGTACTTTTTACCCTAAACTCCCCCAGTTTAACACGCCCCTGAGCAAAAATTTCGACATTGTATATTTGAATTCGTTTAGATGTATAAAGGTTATTAGTTGTACCAAATTTTGTAATTTTATCTACAATGGTTTCTGAAATTATTAGAAAAAATCCATTAAAAGATGCACCCCTTTCAGGGGATGTAGCTCCCTTACATAAACTTTTTCGATACATGTTTATAGGAAACTTTTATCTTAAAATTAAATATTCTATCACCTGGTTAAGTTTGTAACAATAAAAACGGAACAACGGAGTCTCTAATAATGTATATCTGATATTGTTGTTTTTTATTATCCTATACGTACAAATAAAAAGTTTATAACCTTGACTTAATTTAATGTATAAAATATCCTCTCACCCACATGTGAATTTTTATAATAAAGACCCTAACAAATTTTCCGACGCAATCTAAAATAATATATATTCCCATAGACAACTTGGCATTATTGGTTATGTTTGAAAACTTAGGTTATTAAATTTACATCAAAATCGTTGCTGATATGATTTTGGATTGCTTCTAAAAATCGGTTAAGGTCTTTATTATACAGGGTGCGCCAGAACTCGCGCCCCAGAGAAAAATTTAATGTGAGATTTGATACCAGGAACATAAAAAAAAATGTTTAAAAAATTCTATCTATAAAAATTTTGAAGTTATGAGAGTTTAAATTTTCCACTTTGACTCTTTTTATTTCTGTTAGAAAAATAATTTTACTATTTTTTTTACAACAGGCTATGAGAAAACAAGGAAGCTGTATTCTAAATTGTAACGTTGTTTAATCTTATTTGTAGCTTTTATCAGCAAAATTTTTGTATATTTATTAAATAGACGTAAAAATAGTTTTTTTTGACAGAATTTTTTTAACATTTTTTCCATTTTACCTTACATGGCATTTTTCTCTGGGGCGCGAGTTTTTAGACAGATTCACAATGTATATCTAAAAGCTTCAAAAAATTTAAAAAGTGTTAGATAAAATTCTTAATATTTGAGAATGAGAAATAAAAGCGAAAATATAATTGTGTCATGTTAATAAAAGCTCTTTGGGTCAGTTTCGTGTGCAATTCTCCCAAAGAAAGCTCGCCGCAGCAATACCCTTTCCGAGTAAAATATTAGAGAATTCTTTGGCTTCGGCCCGGTTTTGAAACTGTGGTTGATGAGGAGAGTCCGGTCCTCCGGTCCCGCTCGAGGTCTTGGAACGCTTTCCATCCCTTGGCCTAGAGGCGTCAGATGTTCTGCATGGAAGAATGCTAAAGCACGTTAGGTTGTGACCTATTGATCTGGGCCCGGGGGTAGTTTTGTGTACTGGGCGCACCAACATAGACAAAGAGTCCCGAGTTCTAATCCCGGGGGCCCATCTGCATAGATAATGATGTTGCCTCCGGAGGGCCGCATAAATATAGAGAGAGGTTCGCTGCGGCGGTTCACTTTTACCCAGATAAGGAGATTTTCTTTGTTGCCGATGCTGTGTTTTACCATCATTAGCGAGCGCAATCGGAAATAATTTATTCTGGAGCTAAAGTGGCAATTTGAACTCTTTTGTAATGTAAAAATATAAAAAATATAGAACTCTTGAGTATTTTTTTGTTTAATAACTCGGATACGGGGAAAGGAGAAAAAGAGAGTCAAACTCACAATGACTATACAGCTGCTTCTAATTTTACTTTCATTGACTACGACTTCAGTGTATTGGGTCAACCTATTTTCCTTGAACACATTTAATTGTTGAATTAACTAAAAAAAGACATACCTAATATTCGACTGATGTTTTAAGTTTTTTTTTTGTTTTTTAAGTAATACTGTAACAATTTGTCAAATACACAGGCTGTTTGTTTTTCATGTCAATGGACGGAACTAGAACCAATGATAAATACATAATTGTTAGAGCAAATAAATTGAAATGATTGGACAAATACACAATGCACGATTATTGCGGGAACGATTATTGATTGAAATGTAATGGTTGTCTGAAGTGTATAAGCAGTATTAGTGTTATCCATTTATCTAAATGACGTGTAAATATTTCCATTATCTTAATTGTAAAAAACATTTTTTTAAATTGTTTAAAATAATATTTAACACAAGATAGATGTTAAAAATTTAACAGATAACTAAAAGATATTGATGTTACTAAGTATTCAAGATTTATCTTCATAAAAATAGAGAATTCTTAACCACGTAAGTAGTTATTTAAACTCTCGGCACATCCAAAAAAAATATCAAAAAATGGACTGAATTGTCTATTGTTAGTGAAGTGTCCTTAATTTTTGTAATTTTTTCTCACCATGATTACTTATGTATAATCCCTTCATTACATCTCTCATTACAATAAAAATCTACTCG